GTCCCATATTTTATGCCTTGCTTTTCTTCTTTTCTTTTATATATTATATATATGCCTAATTATATACTGTGTGTGTGCATGTGTGCTTCTAAATATGTATTTCGTATAACTTCGTATAATGTATGCTATACGAAGTTATTACGAGAGAAAGAGAGAGAGAGTGAGAGAGAGAGAAAGAGATTGAGAGAGAGAGAAAGAGATTGAGAGAGAGAGAAAGAGAGGGAGAGAGAGAGAGAGAGAGTGAGAGAAAGAGAAAGAGAGTGAGAGAAAGAGAAAGAGAGAGAGAGTGAGAGAGAGAGAAAGAGATTGAGAGAGAGAGAAAGAGACTGAGTGAGTGAGTGAGTGAGGGAGTGAGTGAGTGAGTGAGAGAGTGAGTGAGTGAGTGAGGGAGTGAGTGAGTGAGTGAGTGAGTGAGTGAGTGTGTTAAGAAAAATATTTCTATCAATGCCTCACCTCCTTCTCAGCAATAATGTCAGCTAATTTCTTTTTCTTCTTCTTCTTGAGACTTGCAGAGTCTGTTTTCTTATCCTTATCATCTTTGTTTTCACTGTCTTCTTCTTCATCATCCCAGTTATCCTATACAGCAGAGAGGGTAAAAGAAAATTACTTTTGGGTTCAGCATACACAAAGAGTTCCATCCAATGTCACTGTCCTAGGCAGAGGATGAGAAAACTATTCTATTTTTCAGCACTTACAATGACTAGTGCTACAAGTGACATAAAAATAATAGTAATAATCGCAGCTATGGTTATACTGAAAGAAAAATTATAATTAAAAAAAATAATAAAAAAATAAATAAACAAAATAAATAAAATTAAATTAACCCCCTGGATCCAGACGATGTTGCGATCACATCAAGGAAAAACCAAGCGTCAAGAGTGAAGGCCAGGGTGACGGAAAAGACTAGCCACGAGTGCACAAACCTCTTGGAGTGTGATTTGACTCATTTGGCGTTTAGATAAATTGATAAATGGATGTGGAATCCAACATCCATAAGCCATTTCCATGCTGCACACCATACTCCTGGCCACTGTGCCCAGTGGAGCAGGGTGTATTACGTAAAGTTGAAAATTACAAAAAAAGATATATGACAGATAACCAAATGTTCCAGATATTTCTTTTTTCTTGCACTGAGCTATTTACTACATAGAGATGATATGGAGTCTGTGCAAGGAAAACAAGTAATTACCATCTGGATAAAGCAAATCAAAAGACAAATATGAACATTGGAAAATGGCGATAAAGCTAATAAAATATTTTCACAAAATAACTTCTCAAAGGGGAGGCACACACTCTTGCCACTGCTCATGGGTGTTCATGCACAACTGGCCTACGCACAGCATGCCCAGGATGCTGACCACTAACGTAACCATTGCAACCAGATCCAGGAGGTTAACTGACACCTACAAAGAGATATTATATAAACTAACTATCATTATCCATTATAACAGACCCAACAACAATATTATCCCTATGGTGACAGGGCTGGATTTGTATGTGATGTACTATTATGCAGAAGTCTAGACTTTGTGGTTCGGCCTAAGCTGTGACCAGCTGGCCCACCTGCTGTGAGTCATGACGCATTTACAATTCATAGGCTGTTAGGTCATGATGACTATAGCCGTCACCCTCACAAAATAGTTAACATTAGCATAGAAAAAATATGAAACATCTAGAAACAAAGTACAAACTTAATCATTATAAGTTTACATTTGCTTTTAATATTATGAACAAAGCATTATAAATACATCTGTATTATAGTTCCCAGAGAAATGTCACTTAAAATTCACATAATCTCTATGAACTCAAAATGTTTACAACATATACTGGATAATTAGGAAATTTCTTTTTTTTCTTTTTTTTATTAACAAAAAAGAAAATATCTTTAAATATACTGATCAATTAATTCAACTATAAAAGTTAAAGAGAGTGACTATATGGACACCACCATCTTTTAAAACAGAAGAAATAGAGTAGGATAGAACATAGTTTAAGGTGCAGCATCCTCATAGTCACTGCTAAATGACGAAAACATACCTTACTCTTGCTGCTCAGTTTCTAAGTTCCTCTCTTTGCTTACCTTGCCAGTAATAACACAACATTGACCATCATTACTGCGATGTCCAAAGTAGTTCATGTGTTACTACGAACTTGCCAAAGCGATATTTGGCTAATTAACAGTGTCTGCTTTTCCACATTTATGCTCTTAAAGTCTTTTATTAACCTAGAGCCGATGGGTAAAAAAGTTTGGCAAGTGGACGTAAGAACGGGATTGTTGGCACGCATCTGCAGTTTCACTTGTCAGCGCCCGGCTTGATCGCTAGTTAGCAAGCGACATTTACCACCTAAAAGCTTTTATTTTGCTATGATTTTTAAAAATATTAAAATTTTGATGGTTTACCTTCATTATAGGTGCCATTGCCTAAAATTTTTACTATATAAATAAAGCCACTATTATCAGGGAAAGAAACTCCTTCCGACAAGCCAGTGGCATGGAAATGGGCATGATATGATGCCATCTGAGTTTCGGTCCACAACAGCCATGGCACGTATGTACATGCCACCCATTGGCTACGAGTTAATAATATTATACTTCATTTACGTGTTTTAAGACTGATCTATACTCTTACTTAGAATTATCTGCACATCGTGCATTTCACTCTTTCCTTCGCCCAGCCACGAGGTTTGACATCTCGCCGGCCATTCAGTGACAGAATGCTGGTGAGAAATGTTGCATTTCCAGTGTTGTGTTGATTCTGGGTTATTTTTAAGACTTATACAGTGGCAACGAAGAAGATTTAGACTTGAGTAACCATCCCAATTAAATATCTGAGCCTATCAAGAGCTTCTAATGCCAAAAAAAGTTATCAAAATCAAAGCAATCCAGACGGTAGGAAAATGCAAGTGAAAGTTTGATGTTTCCAGATATAAAGGTATTTGGTTTATTATTTTATGGTGTGAATGTAGCTCAATCTTGCCATACATACTGAGGTGAAGAGAATGTGTCCCTGGGGAACACATTCATGCCTAGTAAAGGCAACTTCAATTATTTATTAGGCTGGATTATTGGTCGATACGTTTTTTGGGTGGTTTGGAACATGTGAATTCCTGAAGAGTTTGCCGAAAGGCGGTCCGGGTTCCTGTAGTTTCCGTATCTTGCAGTGTCTGTCCATAGAATTTCAAAGATAGCGGTAATTTCCATAGAGTTTCACTGGCTGATTTTAAGCATTTTCTGTGCTAGTTTTATGCATTTTTTATCATTATTTTCTTATCTATGCCGGTTTTACCCAATAACTTCCCTGATATGCCCTCCCCTGCTAACAGGACTATTAAATCAAGACTGTCAATGGAGAAATGGTACTTGATCTGAAAGATTCATTTGCAGAAGAAACAATGCCAAGAATCAAGGAAAACATTGGATTTCCTGCAGAAAAACATCATTTTTTTTACTTAAGCTTCTGGGAGGATGTGTCGCTATCTATGACGATTTATCAATTCTACATACTACTTACCCTGTACTATGTATATATAATTCATATAGAAGAAAAAGAAAAATTATTGAAATTATAAATTGAAAGTTTAATTATCTTTAAGGTATATGATATTTAGATTTCTGATAGTAAAATCATATTACAGAACAGAATATAACACTTTTCTCTCATGCAACTTCAACCATATATGAATTATGCTTTGGTACTAGCTGAAAAAGGGGAGATGAGATATACCAGAGAAAATTCTGAAACAAAGAATAACAAAAAAATAAAAATAATAATAAATAATGGTTATTTTTTCAATGATGACAAACAGGACTTCACAGACAAAATTTATATTCTTGTGTGACAAGAATGAATATGATGATCATTTCCGTTGCAATCACCGCCGACGATCTTGATGTGTTAAGTCCCGATAGCAGGTGAGGGCATGAAGTATATTAGGAAAATTATGGGGTATAACAGGCTTAAATAAGAATAATAGTGAACAGAAATGTCTAAAACCAGCACAAAAAATGTTACCGACATGTCCATCATCTTTGAAAGTCTACTCACTGATGCGTCAACATTCGAAAAACTCTACGGGAATCCAAACCAGCTTTCGGCAAACCCAAAAAAACATCCTGACCCATAACCCAACCTGAACTAACAATTTACGGTGCTGTGACTAGGTGTGCCTAAAGAGGGGAGGCTCCGCTCCCCAACACCCCCCGGGATACAATCTCTTCACCTCAGTATGAACGGCAAGATAGAGCTACATCCATACTTAAACAATAAACCAAATACCTTTATTTATTGAAAGACCGAACTGTCAATTTTCCTTCGCTTCTTTCGGTCCATCGGTCAGTATTGTGGATCGCCATTTTTTTAATCACTTTTTTGGGGATTTGGGGTACTTGATGGCCTCCTATATTAAACTGCAATAGTTATTAAGGCCTTTTTTTTCTTCGTTACCACTGAATAATCTTAAGAATAACCCAGAATTGACACAATACCGAAAACAAAACATTTCTCGCCGGCCTTCTGTCAAGGAATGCCTGGGAATCATCCTGTCAAACCTGGTGGCCAGAAACACGGAAATGCGAATGCACAGAAGGTTCTTCAAACCAGTTCCTGTAAATCACTGTCTAATAAATCTTAAAATACATAAATGAGGTATAACAACATTAATAAAGGCCTTTGAAAGCATAAATGTAGAAAAGCATATACTGATAATTAGCTAAATATCATTTTGACAACAGCAAAGTAATACATGATCTACTTAAGAGAGCGCAAGAATGAGTTAACTGGTCATAATTTTGTTTACATTTGTGATGTCAACATGGCGAGGGACTTGTGCCATAGATGAAAAGTGTCTTTTTACGTGATGGTAATCATTCCATACACTTTTTTTTACTGTAACCCTGATTGTTATCCGCAGTAAATTTACCTAAATGGTAATAATGAGCCAGGATTTTCTTGTTTCTAGTGGGCATCATACATTACAATCTTCTCTATAAGTGTATTATATTGAAGTTTCATACTACCCAGCACCCCACAAAACATCAAACAATGGCTACCACTAAGCTAGTGAGCTACCAAATGATTTCCACAAACTCTTACACACTCAAATGTTTACATTGATCTTAGCAAAGCTAAGCAAATCTCCACCAAAATGCAGAAGCCACGACAATTGCCTGACACAGCTTAACGCCCATAGCTACCATACTGTCCTTATTATTAATTTGTGAAAAACAATATAAAACAAAAGTGTCTTAGATTGTTGCGTACTACCAGATGGTCAACTTAAGAAGTTACACTTTTAATATAACATATCTATTCAATTATCATATTTACCCTCTTTTATGTATAAAAACATAGTTATCCTTTATTTTCTACACAAAATGGATATTCATTATTTACACCAAGGGTGAATAAATTTTCAACACAAATACTGCACAATTAAGGCTCCATGGTATTCAACAAATTACCAAAAATTAAAGTTTTTGAAGAAATTTTCTTGTCAGGTAAGAGTATTTTTTTGTGGAAATTTTAACATACTTTATAATCTGCAAGGAATATATTACATGGCATAATTACCAGATTATCATAAATCATGCTTTCATAAAAATAAAAAATTAGTTGTCCTACTTTCAAACTTTCTCTTGTAAAGTGTGTCAATAACTATTTATACTGTATAAATTTATACACAAAATTGATTTACATATGTCCATCACGTAGTTTCCAACTTTTATGCAAGTCCCCCGCCTGCTGATGAACTTGCTTGCATTTCAATTTCCATATAAAGTAACCATTATTGAGTAGTGTGAACGTGGGCCATCATACTGCAATCTTATAATACATTAATAATAGATTTAGTTAGAAATTGTTTTCAATTGCTTTTATACCACATATTGCATCAGCCACACTCACACTTTCAAACATATGAAATAGGATAAATAACTCGGATTTTGACACCACCCAGTGTTTTGAAGACCCTTCACGTTGGCATTCCATACGACAACCAACAATGTTACTTTTTCTCCAATGGAACGAGAATACAGACGAGCATATTGGACCATGTGAGGGAGGGCCTGGTGTTTAGGAACCAATTGTCATTTTACATCACCATGGTCATTAAGGCTTAAATTTCACCTACATTCCCTTATTTCCTTTTCTTCTCCTGTTTTTTTTTTTATTTCCATTTATCACCACCTGCTGTTCATCCCTTTTTTCCTCCCCTCATTCAACTTTCTATTCAACTGAGGTGACTATTTCCCTCAGCTTCAACCCCCTTTCTAGGATCTTTTACTCATAATAAAGAAATAAATTACTCACAGATTGACCTTCAAACCTTTCTTGTAAATCCCTAACAACAGAAATCCTGCTGTATTAATCCCAGAAAGAGACCTCAGAGGAAAATCCGGTACTGAAATTATCAGGTCTCTCCCTCACCTTGACAGAGTCGTCCTCATCTTCTCCTTCCCACTTATCGGTCAATTTGGCAGGCTGGGCTTGAGGAGGCTCGAAGTCCTCGGCATCTGCAACGAAAGAGGGGGTTGATAGCTTCCGGAAAATGAAATCCCCGCCAATTTCGGTCAAGAAATAGGGCCTCAGAAGGCGAGAGAAAGGCGGACCATGTGGGCCACTCACCCCAATCCACGTCGGACATGTTGACGGTCTGAGCCCAACCGCTGCCGCTCCCACAATGCTTTGCGGGGGCGGGGAGGGGAGGAGGGCAGGAGGGGGGTCGGTGAGGAAGGAGGGGAAGGGGTGAGACCGAGGGGAGGGGACCGGGAGGGAGCGGCCGATGGGGATGCGGGAGGAGTAGGGGATGGGCGGAGGTGGGGATATAGGGTGGGAGGGGCTCAGGAGGGGAGGAGAGGGTGCGTGAAAGGTGGGGAGGGATGGGCAATAGGAGGACGAGAGAAAGGTGGGGAGGCAAGAGAGATATGGGGAGGGACTACATGGGTGGGGAGAGAAGGACCCGGCCGAAGAGGGGCAGGAGGGACCAGAGATGGAGGGGAGGGAAGAGGGGAAGGAAGAAGGAAGGAAAGGGGTAGGGAGGGGAAGGAGGGAGGAGGGGGAGGAGCAGAAGCGCGCCAAATCTCTCTCCCTCGGGTTCGCTTCTTGAAAACTTTATATGCAAATCTCTCCTTGATGTCAGCGCTTTATGGACATTTTTCCCTCGCCCCTAAATCCCTTTTAAAAGCAAGAACTCAAAGGTGAAGCCAATCACTTCCTACACAATGGACAGAATGAGTGTTTCCTCAGATATTTCTAGATCTTGGAAGCAATGCGTTTTATTCGGACTCAGGTGACACCATCGCACAAATATGTATAACTTTCAGGATCTTATTATTGCAATTGGCGACATTGCAAGACATTTTGGTATGTAGCCGCTCGGATTTCAAGGCAATGGGCGATTTATGCGCGAGAAAAAAATTAGTGCCGAGAAAGCGAGAGAGAGACAGATAGATAGCTAGAAAGAGAGAGAGAGAGAGACAGATAGATAGAGAGAGAGAGAGAG